CATCAGAAGTCACAAACGTACTGTTGTAGATCCTCTGCAGGAACAAGTCCTCCTTGCCCTCCTGCGCCAGTTCTGCAGTAGCATGTTCCACTACGTCTGTGTGCACACAATGAAATGCAATGCTGGCATCATGGTGCCTCGTGGTGTGTGCCGCTCCCGCTTTCCTCAATCGTGCCGATCAGCATTGTGGAGCCAAAGTTGCATCCTCGCGACGTCGGTGTGCCATTCCACCATGAGCCCAATGCTGATACTGCTGATCCTTCCCAATGAATGAACGAAAAACCAGGCCCAACCCGCTGAACGCCATACTCGGTCTCTCGCCTGCTGTGCCCAACTTGTCATTGTGTTTGGCCAGCCTGCAGCGCGACGCCCGATGCCAAACTGCTGGTGCTTTCCCAACAGTAAGAATGCATCTGCGCAGCAAGTGGAGCGCCCTCTCAAACTCTGGTGCCTGAATCTCTTCATCCTCCTTCTGCAATCCAGTCTTCCTCCTCGCTGCGGGCGATAATGCCAACTCGGCAACGCCGGGGCTCGAAGTGAATCTCCTGGTGCCGACCAGCCGGGTTGTGCTCGCCGCGACGGAGCTTCTTGGGCGCCTTCTTCAACTTCTCAACTGCGAATGCCGCGTCCTCCTGGATCGCGCCGTAGTCAGTCATTTCATCCTTCTCATTGGGGTTGAGCCAGTCCATATACGACGGCTTGTGGTGGGCACCTCTTGGCGGGTCTGCTGTGTCAGCAAATGGGGCCAGCCAAACGCCCGTCGCGACCTCTGGATCTTCGCCTCGCACTAGCAACTGTGCCTCTGCCCCCCCCATCCACTCCAACCGACTGGAACCGTTCAATCCATTCCTCAGCTGTGGCCCTCGTGGCTGGCACTTTGTCGTGCATCCGCCCCCTGGGGCCGCGACGCGTTCCAGCGAGCAATCGTGATCTAGTGTGTGCGTCATGAAATCTCCTCTCCCTCCAATCATCTCATAACCCTTCGATCCTCTTCTCCGTGAGCTTCTGGATGGACTGCTGCTTGTATTTCTTCGATTGTCGACTCAGTCTGCGAACTTCAATGTTTCGCTCCTCGGGGTAGTGGACTTCGTCTTGTTTGGCTTGTCGCCTCGCTATCACCAGCGCGTTCAACTGCGTGCTTTGGGCCAATGTGCCCTCCCTTTTCTCATCGAACCCTGAGGCCTCCGTCAACTGCTCTGCTGACGCCCCTTGTACTATTTGCATGATGCCCGCGGTTATCTGGTCCGCATCTCCCGCGTGCTCCCACTCCTCGAAAGTATTTCGCTGCGCTGCCCAATCGTACTTCTACGTTTGCCGCGCACTGTCGCCTGTCAGTGCCACATGTTAAAGCCACATTGCAAGCCTCCTGTTTATAGCGCAGTGTCTGGGCCTCGTCTGGTATTCAAACGTATGCCAAATATTCGTGTCGATCGGGAAGCGATCCTTCGGAACATTGCATGGCAACAAAGCGGCCATCTATCTTCTGAGCCATGTGGCGCGGGCACGCCAAGCAATCTAGCCTCTTCACCGCGCTGGACGAAATCCCGTAATACATCGCACTCGCGTCAAACTACGTGTTGGCCAATGCCAGATCATGTGCCTGGGGCGCTGGCGTGATACTGCGAAAATTTGGTCCTTCTGCCGCTGCTGCGAACGTGCCCGCCACTTGTGGAACTGTCACGTCCAAGCCACATTCTGAACTCCGGTCCATGCCTATCAAAGGTACACACCGTGGTGGAAGCTGGTTCAGTTTCTCGTGCAGCCACGTGGTGAGCTCAGCTGAGATGGCCTTCTGCTCGGCCGCCGCACCTTTGGCCTTGCCTCTCGGCAAGTAGTAGAGTGAGAAGATCGCGAAGTCCTGGCGCCCCTTCCTGTACCTGACCATCAAAACTCTGCCCTGGAGTCGCTTCTTCCCCTCAAGGATGCGCACGATATGAGCCTCGGCATATCTTCTTTTGTGAGACGCAACTGCCACGCCACACGAATGATTACTGTCTTTGCTGAAGCCTGCATGCACGAACAGGTGATCTGCTGTGATCTGCCGAGCTGGTTCCCATCTGCTCCTGACTGTGGTGCCCTGGAATATGAGGAGGTCTGCAGACTTGTACTCGGACGAAATGTCGTTGACCCTGGCGGGAGCGGAAGCGGTGAACGGGTTGTAGACCACTGCGCGCAAGCGTCGCCAACCGCCGCCACTCCCGTCCCTGGGCTCACTCACGCTATCATGGCGAGAGAGCTGGAGGGGACCGATGGGTGTGCTGTCCGCTGAACCTGCCTTATGTCGCTCGATCCAAAGGGGCAGCTGGAGGAGGGGGAGGAGGAGGAGGAGGAAAAGGAGGAGGAGGAGGAGGGGGAATATGATGATGATGATGATGATGATGATGATGATGATGATGATGATGATGATGAGGAAGAACAGGAGGAGGAATAATAATAAGAAAACAAAAGGGCAGGACGACCAAAATACTTCCAACATGCGTTGGCAATGCTGCAATACACACTCTCGTCCTAGGTCCCCTCCCCATGGGCGTCTGTGTACATTTTTCCAACAGCGGCAGCTCCCCCTAGGATAGCAATTGCCCAAAGTGCTCGCCATTCATGCGATAGTTCCGTTTTGAAAAGAAACCACCCTCAATCCATCCCAATGTTATGCCAAACGCGCAAACCTTTAGTTCAACGATATGTTCAACGATATCCCCGAAGTTAGAACGAACGACCATCCCTCCGTGTGACCTTCACAATATAACGCTACTGGGTTCCAGCATGCGGAATTTCTACAGCAAGGGACAAATCTTGAACCACCACATACTGGGGCTGCTGTCGTACTGTGGGGCCTTCCAGTTTTAATCTGCGGAAATATCAAAAACGAGAACCCACTGGTGAACACGACCCGTCCTCCGTCCGTGTACCTGTTGCAAATCTTGTAGACGGTTCTATCCAGCACGAACAAAAACACCACATGTTACAAATTACCTCGCCACCATTCGTGTTCTACTTTTGGTCAGTTTTGAACCGAATGTGTGCGGTCCGAATAAGCGAAAGCATCGTTTGGCGACCATACGCCCTCCATCTGTTATGCGCGCTGGGGCTGTCGAGCCTCGAGATCATAAGCTTCAAGCGGAGCGACGTGCCTGTCCCGCCAACGGGTATAGTGGTGTGATGAAGAGAAGCGAACTTGAAGGATAGAGGGTATAATGCGAGGATGACGAGGAGAATGTGGGACGAGGCGGATGGCGGAGGATGGACGGGGACGATGAAACGGAGGATGGAGGGTGAGAGTATGGGGATGGAGAAACCTGGAGGGGAGACTTCATGCCTCGACGGCTGTGGGAATGTACTGGAATTGGTCGACATCGCGACGTAGCAGAGGAACGTTCCACCAAATACCTGGGCACGCGCCATGAATCATACTCAGGATGAAGGCGTGGCGGGAGAAGAAAGAGGGGGGATGGAGAAACCGAGAAAGGAGACACGCGCGGGACCAATTTCTCAACGCCGGCAACGTTTGCAGGGGCGAGAAGAGAAACGCAATGGTTTCCAGTCCCTCCAGGACCCAGAGTCTGGCCCCCCGAAGTCGGCGCGTCCCCCCCGCGCGCCCCGCCACCATTGTGTTGACTATTACAAGCCTCCACCGAAAGTCTGTCCGCGCCCACATGAAGGAAAGATGAATGACAACAGAGGAGGGCGGCTGAAAGGCGAACGGGAAGAACGTATACGGATCGCGGGATGCTCCGTTGGCGAGCCCTTCTATGTGGGCATCGCCGTGTTGAGTACTGTTCGCACCACGCCTTGCGTGAGGCGGGGGTGCCTTCTTGGAGAATTGCCCCGTGTCCAAATTCTATGTGGCCGCCGCCGGGCAAGGCGAGACCCAGAGAGCCACCCACAGGGACTCGAGCCTGCTATAATCCAGGAGATACTCCCGAAGTAATCGAAACCCCTCTTCGTTGTCGTCGTCGTCGTCGTTTTCCTCCTCCTCCTCTTCCTCCTCCTCCTCCTCCTCCTTAGTCGTTACCATGGCTTCTTTCGCCTCTCTTTTAAGCATCCATCCGCGCGACGTTGCGCGCGTTTGGCTCAAGCTGTGTTGTAAGGATAGCTTGAACGGGCACGGCCGCGCCTGGGCAGGGAAAGATGCGCTGTTCATCTCGAGTCTGCGTGCATCACAGACATTTTCATTTAGCTTCCCGGAAAATCATCGCCATGTCGTGCGCCACCGTTAAAGAACCATCCATCTACAAGATCCATATGAAGGGCCCCCCCCGTGATTTAAGAGAGGACAGCGAGCAAGGAACACGTTCGATCGCCAGGAAATGCCAATTATCTGGCGGAAGATTGGTTACCAGCCGAAAATATCATGGATCAGAGATCCTGACGCAATGCGTCCTGGCGATCACCGCAGGAGCTGTAATACGAAACGTCGACATGACTGTGGTGATAATGGGGACCAATACGAATCTCTAAATGATCTGGTCAGGACAACCCGAGATAAAGATGTGGGCCGTGACGCATACGACATGTTTGCACCCAGGAAGGGAGAAAAAGACCCACGACCTCGAGAGAACTTCCGATGACGGAGGAGGATCTCCTCGGTCCTCAGAGCAAAGAACGGAAATATCGACAATCTCCCGATCTATGCCGGGCGAGCCTAGCGAGAATCACACCCGACCAGAAAAGGAAATCGTGCGTGCGACGGATGGGGCCGTGTCCTCAGGAGACACTGATTGCTCCACCAAGAACGTCTGTCGCAGCGTATGGGACTGACATCCCTGCGGACCTCGTTGCCGAGATCGAAGATGCCGTTTCCAAAGTCATCGAGGTTGAATCCGACGGTCCTGAGACTGAGCGGCGGGTCACAATGCTTTTGGCATCGGTCACACCTGCTGTACTGAAGGCTAGTGACACGCACATACACCTTCCGTGCCATCTGACATACCTGAGACATTGCAAACGGCTCAGGGTCGACAAGCGACTACTTCCGATGCAACAGAGAATGTTTTGCTTGACCTTGGTCCCAAGCGTGAAGGATAACTTCCTCGTGCTGGTGCGGGGAATGCCAACTCAAAAACAAACTCCTTCCATTCGAGAAGGATGAGAGAAGACGATGAACCGTGAAGACCCTGTCGGGGCGAAGAAACATCGGCAGGTCCCGTCACAGACGCCCAGGCCCGAGGATACTACGGTGGGTTATGAAGAAGAGATGGCCCGCGGAATCCCAATGTCGAGCGCGGGTCACGGTGGCATTGCCTCCGGTCCCGTGCCGCCTTCTACCAAAACTTTTCGCCGCGGCAGACCGCAGGAAGTAGATGGCCCACGCGACGCGAGGCCGCACCTGCCCTCCGCCCTCGGAGATCGCGGCAGTGTGGCAGGGACCCTTCGCGATCCTCGGTGCGAAGCTCTGGGAAGGGGCTGAGATCGAGGGACGACATGTGTTCTTCAGTGCGGGAACCAGGAGGATGGCGTCTGTCGCCAGGTCCTGAGCGTCAAATGCGAGCCGAATGTCAGTTGGAGAGAGATGCTGGAACCCTGCGGACCGCTGCTCCGACCTTGCCGAACATCGTTGTCCAGGAGCATCGGGTGACTGCAATGGGCCAGTGTGTAAAGAATGCTCTGGGACCAGCAAGCAAGGTAGCATCAATTCCAGATGTGGCGAGTGCATTGGGCAAACGGGACACAACTGTTTCGCCATGAGACAAGCCGTACGAGAAGCTGTTCAGAAGTAGGGACCAACAATCGGCTTGGCTTGAATGCAAGTCTGGTCCGAATGACAGATATGCCATATAAAGTCTAGTCTCCATGGACTGGCTGAGGAGAAAAACATTAGGGCTGAGCTGAAGGCAGCCCGGGAAAGAGCAAACGCTGCGGCAAGACAAGAGACGGAAGCTCGCCTGAGCGCCGAGTGTCGCTCGAGGGATGTCGAGAATAATGCGTTGGCATACTGAATGAGGGACGCCGAGGAAGCTGCTCGAGTGGTCGAGACAGCAATCGCCTGGAGTCGTGAGGTAGAACTGGCAGGGGCGAGAGGAACGCACGAGATGAAACTCAGTGAGAAGCATGTGCTCAGGGTTCAGCAGGATGAGCTTCTTGCTATGAGCCTGGATCAATAAGGAAAGCCAAGGCGGACAAACAACAAAACAATTCTCTGAGGGCGCACTTGTCCCAAGCCGAGAACGCCAGCCTCGCGAAGCAAGCCTCTGCGACGGCTGCCGTGATGCAACCGGCAGACACGAAGACCGCTTCGACCGGTGGAAGAACTGCCACCGGAGTTGCGTGGGGAATAAAGGTTGACTGTTGCTTGTGCCACCAAGCACGGTACATCCGCCACCGTGCCTCTGGGGACGGAGTGGGCGTGTCCTTAGGTCCTTTGCCTAATCCTTTAAGCCTCCATCCTCACTCCTGACGAGTCTGTAAGGAGCCTAGACTCCAAGTGCCAAAATTTGGTGGGGCTTGGCGCGTGACCTCAGGTCCTTTGCTCTACGCCTCTAGCCTCACTCCTGACGAGTCTGTAAGGGGCCCGGACTCCAAAGTCCAAAATTTAGCGCGCGGGGACTTGGCGCGTGCTCCCTGGGGCTTGGCGCGTGCCCGCTGGGGCTCGGGGAAGTGGGGGCGTGTCAGTTTTCTGGGCCCAAGAGGGCCTCAAGACGGGCCAAGAGGGCCCCAAGAGGCCCCGAAGACGGTCCAAGAGGGCCCCGAGTCGCCGAACGATCGCTCCAAGACGCTCAAGATGGCCCCCCAGGACGGCCCAAGAGGCCTCCAAGATGCCCAAGAGGCCTCCAAGAGGCCTCCCAAGAGGGCCTCAAGAGGCCCAAGTCATTGATATTCCGTCGATTTTTGAAGGATTTCGGCGTTCTCGCCGTTTCGGCTTACCGACGCTCCCAGACGGCCCTAGAGGCCCCCAAGACCGCCCTGAGACGGCCCGATAGGCCTCCAAGAGGGTCCCAAAACGGTCCAGGAGAGCCCAAGACCAAGAGGCCCCAGAACGGACCAAGAGGGCCCAAAGACGGCCCCAAAAGGGGCCCAAGAGAGGGAACACGAACCGAAAATCTGAGCCTTCCGCCCCAAGAAGCCCTCAGGAGGCCCCAAGAGGAGCCCAGGAGGCACCAAGAGGCCCCCAAGATGCCTCCAAGAGGCCCCAAGATGCCCAAAAGATGCCCCAAGATCTCCAAAACGGTCCCCAAGAGGCCTCCAAACTGACTCCAAGAGGCTCCCGAGAGGCCTTCCAAGAGATCCCAACGCACATCCAATGGGCTTCATTTCCACAACCCAAGCACGGTGGCGGGATGGCCCGAAAGCCATTAGACCTGGGCCGGCACGGAAACGGAAAGAGCGCTTCAACAACTTGACCGAAATTGCTCACACCACCGTTCGTACTGGGAGCATTGGCGTTGAGAGCTTGTTACGTTAGCCCTCGCTCCTGGGAGCCTTGGTGTTCAGAGATTGTTGCGTTGCCGCCCGTTCCTGAGCCTTGGCTGGGCCTTGGTGTCAGGAACTTGTTACGTCACCGCTCTCTGCTGGGAGCCTTGGTCTTATCAGCTTGTTTACGTCACCGTTCGCTCTTGGGAGCCTTGGTGTGAAGAGCTTTTTGCGGTAACGATCGCTCTTTATTTGGCGTCTCTGGGCCTTCGTGGGAGTCCTATTGGGGCCCTTTTGGAGCCCTTTTGGGGGCCTCTTGGGGGCCTCTTGGGGCTTTTTGGGGGCTCTTGGGGCCTCCTGGGAGCTCCTTGGGGCGAAAAGCTAGACTTTTCGGTTCGTGGTCCCCCTCTTGGGGCCGTCTTGGGCCGTCTTGGGCGCCTCTTGGGCCGTCTTGAGGCCCTCTTGGGCCGTTTTAGGGGCCTCTTGGGAGCCTCTTGGGCTGTCTTGGGGCGGTCTTGGGGGCCTCTTGGACCGTCTTCAACGCCGTGAAAGCCGAAAAACCGTGTATGCTAGAAATGTACGTTTTCCTTTGGAAAATCATTGATTTGGGCCTCCTGGTTGCCTCTTGGGACGACTCTTGGGGCTTCTTGGGGGGCTCTTGGAGCCTCCTGGGAGCGTCTTGGGGCGAAAGGCTAGACTTTTCGGTTCGTGGTACCCCTCTTGGGGCAGTCTTGGGGGTCTCTTGGGCCGTCTTGGGCGCCTCTTGGGCCGTCTGGGGGCCCTCTTGGGCCGTCTTGGGCGCCTCTGGGACCGTCTTGGGGGGGGGGCGGCCATTCACGCCAATCTCCTCACGCTTCGCCCCTCCCCTGGAACCCCTCCCTCTAAAGCTTCGCCCCAACACAACGTCATCGCTCGTACCTCGCTCTTTCCGTTACCTGGCCCTTCACGGAAACGGAAAGAGCGCGTCAAACAAAGTAGCCGAAATTACTCACACCACCGTTCGTACTGGGAGCCTTGGCGTTGAGAGCTTGTTACGTCAGCCCTCGCTCCTGGGAGCCTTGGTGTTCAGAGATTGTTGCGTTGCCGCCCGTTCCTGAGCCTTGGCTGGGCCTTGGTGTCAGGAACTTGTTACGTCGCAGCTCTCTGCTGGGAGCCTTGGTCTTATCAGCTTGTTTACGTCACCGTTCGCTCTTGGGAGCCTTGGTGTGAAGAGCTTTTTGCGGTACCGATCGCTCTTTATTTGGCGTCTCTGGGTGTTCTTGGGAGTCCTTTTTGGGTCCTTTTGGAGCCCTTTTGGGGAGCCCTTTTGGCGCCTCTGGGCCTTCTTGGGAGTCCTCCTCCTCCTCCGCCTCCTCCGCCTCCTCCGCCTCCTCCTCATCCTCCTCCGCCTCCTCCGCCTCCTCTGCCTCCTCCGCCTCCTCCGCCTCCTCCTCCTCCTCCGCCTCCTCCGCCTCCTCCTCCTCCTCCTCCTCCTCCTCCTCCTCCTCCTCCTCCTCCTCCTCCTCTCCTCCTCCCTCCTCCTCCGCCTCCTCCTCCTGTTCCTCCTCATTTTCCTCCTCGTCTTCCTCCTCCTCCTCCGCCTCCTTTTCCTCCTCCTTTTCCTCCTCATCTTCCTCCTCCTCTTCCTCCTCCTTTCCCTCCTCCTCCTCCTCCTCCTCCTCCTCCTCCTCCTCCTCCTCCTCCTCCTCCTCCTCCTCCTCATCATCATCATCATCATCATCATCATCATCATCATCATCATCATCATCATCATCATCATCATCATCATCATCATCATCATCATCTCTTTCTCCTCCCCCTCCTGCTCCTCCTCCTCCTCCTCTTCTTCCTCCTCTTCTTCCTCCTCCTCCTCCTCCTTCCCCCCTTCCTCCGCCTCCTCACCCTCCTCCTCCTCCTCCTCCTCCTCCTCTTCCTCCACCTCCTCCTGCTCCTCCGTTCCAGGAAAGAAGAAGCATATTTCTGTGGCCGAGAAGGCGAACGGAGTCGTCCAGGCCAGGGCCACGTCGTTGTTGATGGCAGCGGGGCTCCCCTCTCAGGGCTGGGTGTTCGCTGTGGAGTGTTTCCGCTTGTGCCGTAAGGATCAGAAGGACTATGCGGAATCTCCATGGAGAGCTCGGTTCGGTGAAGAGTTCAATCCGTTGTTGATCCCCTTCGGATCGCCAATATCGTGCCTTCCTCCCTCGGTTTCAAGGGCCAAGCTGCCCCAAATGTCACCGCGGGCTTCCGAGGGTAGTGTGCACTATGCGGGGCCCCTGGTTTTCAGCGCCAGCGGCAGCGCTGGCCAGGGGCAGCGGCCCTCAGGCTAACGCCTCTGCTTGTCGGCCTCGGACGCGATGCTTATGACGCCCTCGTGTTGCGCTGCGGCTGCAGCCAGCACGCCTGCGTTCCCAGGCGCAGCTTGCCGGACTACCACCTCTAGGAAAGGGCGTGGACAGCCAGCCCGCCGCACCTCGAAGCCGAGTATGTTTTCCTCGCGTCGGGCGCGGATGACCGCAGGCGCCGCAAGGACCCGGTCTACTGGCAGGCCGTCCGCGCGCGACGCACCCGGCGCAGCGCCACGCCCACCGATCCCATGCGGGAGCAAAAACCTAGCGGGCCGTGTGGAAGCCACATTCGGTGTGAATGTGCTCCTACACGTCCTCGGCGTCCCTCCCCATTTCTCCTGCTGCTTCCTTCTCCGTGCTTCTCCCTCCTCTTGGCCCCGCGCGCGTTCCGCAAGGGAGTATCGTGAGTTGCGTCCGGCACCGCGGGTCGTTCGTTCTCGGGCTACCAGGCTGGCACTTATGCAGAGAAGTGGGGCGAGGGTAGGTCGCGGAATGCCTGGTGGCCCGAAACATGGCCAGGGGGCGTCAGCTGACCACCTCACCGATCCTGGCCAGGTCCATCCCGGGCCCAGGATGGGTCTGGCCACGATCAGTGAAGTGGTTCCCAGGCATCCGACGTCTTGTTTTTTCACAACGTGTATCCGCAGAGATCTGGAACCCTTCCTGGGACCGGCTTTTCATCCTGAACGTTCTTCTCCAACTAGGTTTTGTCTTAGGGGTGCGTACTTGTTAATGAAGAACTGGTGGGTGCGTTGCCGGTTTGCGCCAGGGTTCCCCAGGCTTCCTTGGTCTTGTTCTCCAATTATGCTTGCCTAAGGGGTTCTTACTTGGTTAAAGGTTGGTGCCTCCTACAGTTGATTTGCCCGTTGCTCGGAGGTTCCTCGGGTTCCTCGGGTTCCCCGCCCTCAATGCCTCCTATTGTTATGTTGCCCGTTTCCCGGAGGTTCCTCGGGTTGCCCGTTCCTTGGAGGTTCCTCGGGTCCCCCGGGACCCTCGGGTTCACCGCCCCCAGTTGCCCCAAGCAATGTCAAGCAATGCCAAGCAATACCGGGCAATGCCAAGCAATGCCATGCAATGCCAAGCAATGCCAATTGTCATGCAATGCCAAGCAATGCCAAGACATGCTGAGCGATGCGCCCAACGATGCGCCCATGCAATAGGCTTTCCCCAAATTGGGGTCGCGCCGGGTTCAGTTCTTTACAAAAGGGTCCCCAGGGTTCCTTGGTCTTGTTTCTTGCAAGGCGTTGCACCAGTTCCCTTGATTCATCGGTCTTGTTTCCTTGGCTATTTCCTTACAAGGTATTGCCCAGGTTCCCTTGGTTCCTTCGTCTTGGTCAATTAATCGTGGTGCCTCGGTTCCTTGGTTTCTTGATTCCATAGTCTTGGTTCCTTGGTTCCTTGTTCTTGGCTTCTTGATTCCTCGGTCTTGGTTGCTTTGTTCCTTGGTCTTGGTTCCTTGATTCCTTGGACTTGGTTCCTCGGCTCCTGGGTCTTGGTTCCTCGGCTCCTTGGTCTTGGCTACTTGCCTTGGTCGCCTTGGTTTTTTGGCTCCTCGGTCTTGGTTCCTGGGTTTCTTGGTCTTGGTTCCTTGGTTCCTTGGTTCCTTAGTGTGGGTTCCTCGCTCCCTTGGTTCCTTGATCTTGGCCCCTTCGTGCCTTGGTCGTGGTTCCTCGGTTCGTCGGGCTTGCTTCCTTGGTTCCTTGGTCTTGCTTCCTTGGTCCTTGTTCCCTGGTTCATTGGTTCCTCGGTTCCTTGGCCTTGGTTCCTTGCTGCCTCGCCACGCAATGCCAAACAACGCAAACAAATGCCGCGAAATGCCACGCAATGCCGTGCAATGATGAGCAAGCAGTGTGCGAAGCAAGCACTGCGAAACAATGCCAAGCAATGCGCCCACGCAACAAGAAACTGACCCCTCATCGGGGTCGCGCCGGGTTCAGTCTGACGATCCCGATCCCGGGGCTCAGTGAGGGCCCCCAGAAACCTAACATTGCACCAAACCTCCAATCGTGATTTCTCACTGCGCAAGGATGTCCGGGCCGGCTGACGTCCGCCGATGCCTGGCAAGCGCGGGGAGGGCTGGCCATCCTGGGCGCCTCCCTCGCCTCCGACGAGGCACGTGGGCGCTTCTGCCTTGACGTAGAAATCTCCGGGCGCTGGCAAGTCCGCAGGATGCGTCAGGCATCGCGGCCGAGCGCTTGCAAAGCGTCCTGGATCGATGTGTTCACACCCCAAAGCTGCACGAACAATCTCGCGACCTCACGAGAGCCGCAGGCCGTCCACGAATCGCCCGAGCTCCTCTGTGTAGCGCTCTCGGTGCTTAGCGAAGTGCTCGACGTGTCCAGATCTTTCGAAACAAACGCTGGTGGCCTGCCCTGCTTTGGTGAACGTGCCGATGTAGTCCTTGATCGCCTTCGCCTTTATCAGGTAGTCATGTGTGGAATAAAGAAACAGCGCAGGCATTCCATAGTTCAGGAACAGGTCGGTGAAATCTGGGTAGCTGGTCGGAACAACCTGGAACGCCTTGAGCTTCAGGGCTTGCTGCATAGAGAGAGGGCCGTCCACTGGGCCGCCAAGCGCAGCCTCCACCGCTCCCCGATCCACGCGAGAGTGCTCGCCTTGGTCGTGTACGAGCCATCCTAACACCTCGCCGTCTGGCTGGATCACTGCATGGCCCACGCCAGACGAGCCATCGGGATCAGTGAACTCGAGCACGTCTCCCTCCTCGAGGGGGTACGTCGGCTGGATCCCGACCAGGGCCTTGTCCGCCTCGGTGCTGATCGACACGCTGTGCAGCTGGCAGAGGGAGCGGATGCAGCCGTTGAAGACCTGCCTCAGGAAGCCTGTGCTCAAAAAGCCCGGAGCAGAGTCAACCACCACACCGTCGATCCTGCCCTTCCACTCCTGGCAGAAAGCCTGCAGCATGTAGAGCCCCGTGTTCGAGAAAGCGTGGACGACCACTGGGCCGTCGTGACCCAGGAACCCGATCACCTCCCTGACCTGTTCGCTGAGCCGCCTCGGGCACCCCGTTGTGGCCAGCGTGCTGAACCCGCGCTGGCGCCACCACAGCCGGGGCGGCTCCAGCTGCCGCAGCGACGCGCCCCCCCAGCCGAAGAGCAGCGCGGTGGGCGCCCCGGCGCCCTCGCCGGGCGGCACGCAAGGAGTGGCCCCCAGGCAAGAGTGACCTCTGGTGCGCGGCCTCCAGGAGGCGCGCGGGTGGGTGGGGGGGAGCTGGCCCCAGCCGCGCAGGCCGCTTCCTGTCGCACCGCATCCGCTGATCGGGGGACCTGAGGGGGGACGCAATGGGGGGGGGGGGGCTGGCACAGGGTGGGGGGGAACATTGACCTGGAGTCGGCGATGCCCCGCCGATAGATCGGCGATGGGCCCTCGATCGCAGAACCGCGCATTCCTGGGCTGGGTGGGGGGGGGCAAGCACCGATTGGCGATGCACGGGCGATTGGGGGCCGATGCCACCCCGCGGGCCAGTACCCCCCTTATCGTTGCCCCGGGGACCCCAGTGGGCCAACACCAAACTCCGACGAACTGTCGTCTGCTTTTCGTGTCATAACCCCAGTCTCCGGCGACCATTCGGGACGATCCGTGCACCTCCCGGGACGTCCTCGGCGAGGCGCGGCTACTGGACCGCATCCCGAGGTTGGCAAACCGCCGAGGACCGACGAAAGTGCCCCCAAACCTCGAACCTCGATCCGGCGAAGAGTCACTCTCACGTTGGAAGCGGCCGGGGGGTCTGTGCTGGATTGGCCTCGAATCAAAAAGGGGGGACGAAGGCGAATCCGATCAAAATCGGTGCCCGGACCCCAACCAGGGTCGAAACTGACTACTTTCTCGAGCCGCGTCAAGCCGTGGCGACGAGGGGCCCCCTCTGCTGGCCAGGACCAATGCTGGGCCGCCTCAGCCGCCCGGCCAACTCCAACTCTCACGTGCAGCCGGCCTCACGCACCATGCCGTGCAGCTCCGGCGCGAAGCTCCAGCCGACCAGCAGGGCGCAGCTGCGCCGCGACCCCCGCGACAGCCCCGCGAGCAGCGCCTCCGCGGCGTCGCCCTGCCAGCCGCCGGCCACGGCTGCCCTCACGTCGTCCCAGGTGCCGCCGCCGGCCTCCAGCCGCCGCCTCGCGGCCTCCGCTGCGCCGCCCAGCCTCTGCCTCGGCAGCTCGCCCTCGTAGAAGAAGTGGAAGTCGCCGCCGCCCTCCAGGCCGAGATCGCAGAGCCGCGCGCCGGGCGGGAGGACCTCGGAGGGCTCGGGCCGCTCCGTCCTGCCCGCCTGGGCGCTCCGCGTGGCGAGCATCGCGTCTGGCCTGAGGCCCGACGCCTCCGCGACCCTCTGGCACACGACCATGACGATCGGAGGAGGGCTTGTCGAGACAACGGCAGCCCTTCCCTCGTGCTCTTCCTCCTCCTTGGGCCTCCTGGAGGCTTCTCGTCGCCAGAGCTGGGTCCGCATCGGATCACGTGTTACGATGGGCTGGGCGGGAAAGCCGCCGCTGTCTCACCCCGGCCCTCCTCCGAGACGAGCGCGTCGGCGCGCAGCTCCAGCTCGCACAGCACCGACCCGTCCAGCGGGCTGCGCGCCGCCAGGCGCAACGCCCGGCTGTCGATCCGCTCGAGGAGAGGACCCAGGCCCACGGAGGAGCCGTCGCTGAGCACCTGAGGAGAAAAGAAACGATACCAACGACACGCCGCCGTGGGGAACGCATCAGCGTGCTACCTCGGAAAAGAGGCACCGAGCCTCCACTCGCCATCGCTCGGACGTCCATTTCCCGTGCATTTTTCGATGTCGTGCGTGCTTTTTTGCCAGATGATCCAAGCTCCTCGATGGTCCTCGCCGAGGAAAGAACGCACACGTCCGAGTGATGCCAAGTCCAGGCAGAAACGAGGGGGCAACACGTCGCCAGGCTCCCAGCGACGGCGTGCAACTGGAATGCTCTTCTTCCCCCCGCGCACCCAGCCCCTCGGCACGCCCTCCGCCTCGTCGCCCAGCAAGCGGACCCATGGGCCTTCCGCCTCGACCGGCCTCTTGGCACGCCCGAGCTTGGGGGCGGAGAGAAGGGGTACGTCCCAAACCGACAGCGGCCGCTGTCGGGCAGACGACTTGCTGTCTCAAACGGACAGCGTCCTCGGCGATATCGGCAGCGAGTCCTGTCCAAAAGAAGCTGGAACTGCTGTCAGTCTTCGTCCGTTCCCCGTTCTCTCCGTACCCGTTTCGATCGTGCCGAACCTCAGGACCTGGCCGAAGCGGACCGAGCCAGCGACCTCGGCGGAGGCGCGGGGCTCCATGCGGACGGCGACCCGGGGCTTGTGAACGACGCGCCACACTCCAGCCATGCCGGCAGGAGGCAGCTGCACCAGCCGAGGTCTTAAGCCCAAGCGGCTAGACCTTGCTGCCGATGCTCTTCCTTCGCCGAGGTCTGAAGCCCTTCCGGCTGCTGCCGATGCTCATCCTTCGCCTCCTCCTCTTCCTCCTTCCTGCTCTCTCCTCCCTCCTCCCTTCTTCGTGCGCACGGAAGACGAGCGTTACGGGCCCTACGGGCCCAGCTACCCAATATGCTACTGGCGTGTGTGCTTGTGGCGTGTGCGTCGGACGGGGCGTCGGAGTGAGAATGGTTCTGCTTGCGGACGTTACGGTTACGATTTGCTAAATTTGACGGGCCCTCGCACCATACCTTACTACAGTGCTGCCGCCGAATTGCTGACGCAGCCGACCAGGTATGTGACGCCACCAGAGCCTTCACCGTTCCGCTACAGACTCCCCAAGGTAAGTTCAAGGTGCCCCCCTTCACTCGGGACTACATTGTTTGGCTTCACTATCTAGGACGACTACCGACAGCGATCGAGCTCTCTGAATTTCCCCACGGCTTCATATTCCGACTGGACATGGTGCTTCGCTTCTATCACGCTTGGTTTGGCACTTTCTGGGCAGCTACCAGCGTGTTTCTCAAGGCAGCCACCTATGTCATACAGCAGTCCACCAGGCAGGACTCGGCTTGGCATTGTTAACATAGCTAAAGGCGTACGCTCAGCCTGGGACCGACGTCAGTTTGCAGAGGCGTATGCCGCCTTGCGACGTGTGGGTGCGGGGTCGAAGCGACGGCGATTCGAGCGAGTACTTCCAGCGCTGCAGGATCTGTCAGGTCAGGCAGTGGTATCCGAACAGCAGGTCGCAAGAAGGTGGCAGCAACACTTTACAGGATTGGAGCTAGCAGCCACTCTGCCCGTCAACGACGTGCCTATGTTTGCAATCTGCTTTTGGACGTACGCCATATGCGCGCATGCAAACCAATCCCGTCGCTCTTGCATCCATCGCTCTCTGATTTTCAGTGGTCTTGCCGTCAAGCTCGGAAGTCGGCGCCTGGATGTGATGGGTTGCAGGAGGCCTCTTGAGGGCCCATCCCACGGTCATAGCTGAATACTACTACCCACTTCAGCTAAACTTCGCAGTAACCCTAGCGGAGCCAGTGCACTGGCAAGGGGGATTCTACCGAGACTTCATCAAATCCATACATGCCGACCCTACACAGTGTGCGAACTCCAGGTCCATATTGGTACCGTCACAGATCGGCAAGGCCTCCAGACGATGCCTGCAGAATCGACTATTACCATTCCTGGCATCGGAGGCGGGTGAGACACAGTTCGGAGGACTTCCAGGCAGAGTGACTACCCACGCGTCGTCGATCTCTCCCTACATCATCGGCTTGTGCTGGCGGACAGTCTCGTCATGTCAGGACGTCTGTGCAACGCAGGGACATGGCCCGCGCTTACGACATCAACGGCTAAGCTTGCACATTTGGAGATCATGCAAACATATCGTGCTGCCGCACGTGTCCGCTTCCACGAGGAGACCTCTCAAGTTTCCGACAGGCGGGTTTTGGCCCAACTACGGAGGCCCACCCCAGACATTACGCTGCGTGCAGCCAGGCTCCGACTACTGGGGTCGCTATACCATGCCGGGCCTCAGCTGGCCTTTCTTCTGGTGACAGCGGAGTGGGATGCAACTACCGACGAACAGGCCCGACAGCGTACGTCCTTGGGCCAGGGTATGCAGGACCTCACCTGGCTGCGACGAGCGGTTAAGCAGTGTCAGGTTCTCCCTCTCCCAGCCGACGATCTGAACGCATGGGAATCACTCATGCGACGCAGCCAGCCGGCGTGGAAACGCATCATACGTGTTGGTGTGCACGCGTGCACGCAGTATCAGAGCAGATGTGCATTGGCGCAGCACACCGAGTCTCAGTTCTTTGCTGAAGTGCACGCGGCGGGAGTGCCCCACCGTGTGTGCGCAGATGGAAGAGGACTGCTCGTGCAACCGCCGACGCCCACAGCCGCGACACACATGGAGTGCCCATGGTGCGGTGAGGTTTTTGCTCGGCATCGTGCGTTGCGCACGCTCGTTGCACGCGTGCGTCGACAGTTGGTGACGATCGCTCGGGGATATGCTGGGCACGATGGTGTATGCACGATGTGTTTGTTGAGGTTCAATGTTCGGCCGCATCTTGTGGGCCCCCTATCGATCAACCCACCCAGATGCCTACTTGCCGACATACTTACAAGGGACAACCCTGCCTACCACCTACAGGACCCTCCACAAAACACCCAGACGGCCCGACATACCAACCACGTGTGCATACCACGTCGTCATGTGGTCGTACCTGCTACACGTGTGAACGGCCCTCTCACACAGATTGCTACTGATGTGGCGGAGCTAGCGCCACAGGCATACGTACGACAAGTACTACTGGAAAGCGACCCGTACCTTACGCCAGAGGCATGCGCAACACTCCTACCCTCATCGTCGCCCATTGATCAGGGCGACGCCTGCCCACCCGCCTCATACCCACCAGCACCGTGTTCCTTACCGAACAGTACACAGGGAGGGCTTTGCAGACGCTGCCATCGGCCATACGTCGGTCATAATATTTCATTCTCAACTTTTTCTGTGGACGACGACGACCAGGGGACATTCAGGCGTCACTCGAGCGGACTGAATACAACACAGACTTTTCGGTCAATGTCTTGCGATCGACGTCGCTATCGATCTGGTACTCGGTAACACATTCGTGCCCGGCGGGTGGTGCTGTCAGGCGGGGGGCCCCCATGCGAGACGTGGTCAACAATCCGATGGGCCCCCAACACAGGGACACAAGGCCCCCACCACTCCGCTCCCACGATGACCTCTGGGGCCTACTAGCCGTGACTCCACGACAGATGGAGCAGCTCAGGGTAGGGAATGAGCTCCTAGGAGCTATGATCGAACTTTTCGCAGTGCACCTGACTGTCGGGACCAGTTGTTGGATGGGGCGCCCCATGCCTGCGAGTTGGCGCGCAGAGGCAGTGAGCTCGTTTTTCCGCCCCTCGCTCAGAGCAGTGATGGCCTCCCCTGCAGCAGCAGCGACCGATTTTGATCAGTGCGAGCACGGACAGGTAGCACGAGCACCTACACGCATCCTGGCACTACGCATGGGCACACTACATGGCAGGCTCTGCGAGACACCAGGAAGAGGACGCTGCTCACACGGCCGTGGGGCTCATGAGGTGCTCATGGGGTTCGACAGGGCTCGAAAGGAGTGGCGTACGGCCAACAAGAAGACCTACCCACCAGTGCTGTGTCAGGTATTTGTGGACGGTATCATGGACGCAATCAACCACATGCACGTGTCGTGTGAAGGCGAGATGTGGCCAAAAGACATGAGGGAGGAGGAGAAGGAGCTCCGTGGGTCGCTTAGGGCTTTTTACGTCGAGTGGGGCCCATCTCTCGGGACAGACGAGACCTGGGCCCCAGACTTTGCTTTCCCTCAAACTGGGAGGGTCCGATCGGACCTCGAACGGCACAGGTTTATGCCACCTGAGCCGACCCAGAAGCGTCACAAGGGCTAGGAATCGTTTTCGACACCGAGGCGTCACCTCGGGACCCAGGCCCAGTGGAGGCTACATACGAGCAAAAGTATGCAGAAGTCTTGGCCTTCATCGAAGGCACCATCATACCGCAGCCAGAGGACACATAGCACCCTGGTCCCTGCCCTCCCTCCCCTCTCGTGCCACCCCCCCCACGGCCAGTCGAGCTCACCGAAGCTGTGAGCCAGCGTATTGCAGCCAATCGGGCGCAGGCCAGGGAGCGTCGCAGGCTGCGTCTCGCCAAGAGGATAGCCCCTTGGACGTTGCAGCCCGAATTCGGCATTGGGCTATTTGACCAATCGCGTGACTAATCAGCTTTGCGGGAGGGACGGTCGGTCAGGGTAGGAGCGGAGTGGAGGTTTGGAACAGCAGCAGGTGTGTGCAGTTTGCCAGCCTCATCCACACACATCAGCCAGACGGGCCATTTACCCCTTCCCGCTCTCCATGGCCGTTGGGCCATTTGTGCGAGACGCTTCCCTCCCCCACTTTCGCTTCCCAGACTTCGCTCCCTTCTCTGCCAGAAATAGATGCAGAGATCGCGTTGACGTGGCCAAGACCACAAGCTCACGAGACGTGCGAGTTAATGCCAAGGTGGGAGGCGGAGTATGTTTGGAGCGGGATGATGGTTTGGAACGGCAGCAGTAAATGTATGCAGTTCGCCAGTCTCACCCATACACAACAACCATACCTGCCACCTGACGTTCCCACACTTCATGGCCGTTGGGCCACTATGCGAGGCCTTCCCCACCCCTCTTCCGCTTCCCACGCTCTGCTTCCCCCCCATCTGCCTGAGGCTGAGGCAGAAATCGTGTGGGACCTGCGTTGGATTTCTGACGGTGGACACGCCCACCAGCTCGCGAGACGTGCGAGCTACCGCCAGGGAGGGAAGTCGGAGTTTGGTTCAGGCATGGGAGGAACGAGCGGCGCGGCAGAGTAGCAACGAGCGCCCCCCCGAGTACAGCCGCCGCCCGCCCGTGCCACGCACGTCTGGCACCCATCGAGGGAGTGGAGTGGCCGTAGACCCCCGACTTAGGCTTTCGGTGTCCCGCGTCGCCAAATTTTGCCGTTCAGGCCAGAGCAGAGAAGGCGAAAGCGAAGCTGGCCCGGCTGCCGCGGACCTCGCTGAGCGCGCGGTCGGGGCTTGCCTCTCGGAAGCGGCCGCTGGATCCCCTCTAGCGGCCTCGCCTACCCTGGCGCCTGCTGGGGCGCCCTCCGCGCGGTGCAGCGTCGTGTCCTGCGTCGCCCGGGGGGCTGGGCGACTGGGGGGGGGGCGGCGCAGAGACTGACCCCTCTCCGGGGTAAGCGGGCGCGCCCCAGGCCTCGGGGGGCGGGGGCCTCTCTCGCGGTGAAGTAACCTCCGGGCGGAGCTGTCCCGACTGGGCCTTCTTGATCAGGGAAGAAGGGGCAGGGTCGTGAAGCGCGCGGGCGCTTCTAGCCTCGGGGCTGGTCGCCGGCGTCAGTTGCTCGCTGGCGCACTTCCATGA